GACTAACTGGATGTGCTCTCTTCATCCTCTGACATGGGAGCTGGCTCGGAGCTCGTCTGTCTGGTTATATGTATAAAATAAACCTACAGCTAATAGAGAAGCAATAAGAATAATGCAATGTTTCGATTTCAGGAAAAAACAGATCTGATAGTTTGGAAATAAAAGCAATGAAATTTTACCACCCTGTAAAATTTAAAACCAAACAAATGATGTAATTTATGTTATTTAAGCAAGAAATCATCTACTTCCTCTAAATATTAAAAAAATATATATATATATTTAGTGACTTTATTCTTAAATCAAACAATGTTTCTTTATACATTTTAAAAACTGTATTTATATGAACCATTAGAAAAATATGTTGTGATAATTTAAGTGGCTCGAGGGCAGAAATTACTGTTTTTTATTGTTAAATGTTAAAAATTTTAGAGTAGCTCTTGATTATTTCAGAAATACTTAAGTTTATCTGGTGAGAATTAAATAATTATGTTAAGCAGAAAAAAGAGACGGGAAATCAAACGTTTTTTTTCTTCTAATCATTTTCCTCCATGTTTTTTTAATTAAGTAATTCGCTGTGAAATGTTAATGTAAAAGCAAACATTTGACGCCAATATATATATATATAGCGGTCAAATGTTTGAGTTGCTTTTTTCTCTTTATCTGTTTATAGGGAATAAACAGAGATCAGCGGTTAGCAATCTACTGAGCTAAATGCTAAATCATCTTAGCTTGCTAAGCTAGCTATTTAGCAGGCTGAATATGTTTCCAAACATCTGCGAAGTCTCATAAATCAGATCTAGCTTGTTAGATAATTAATTTCCTGAAATTTGATGCTTTGAAACATCTTTTGTGCTTGCTAGTCAGTCAGCTAGCTAACAATGCTAACAATGAATTAGAGATTTCTATGTTAAAGGGTGATTAATAACCTTCTTTGGGTTATTTTTTACTAAAAACTCAATTATTGTTAAAAGTGAGGTGATGTTGGATGTAAGTAAATCACAGAGATGCAGAAGAGAAAAAGGAAGATTTAAAATGTTATCTGGAATAAAACAGAAATCAGATCCTAAATATTTTCCCTGTTTCTGCTTCACCAAAATAAAACTGGCAGCATATAACCGGATTTTTAACTGGGTAAGAAACATTATTAATGGAAAAATAATATTATGATTGAACCTGACAAATCAAAAATAAATAGAACCTTAACAGAATACAGACCTATTTTAACAGGGGGTGTGCAGACTTTTATTTTGTAATTAAAATTAAGATCTTTGAAAGTATTCACCCAGCAGGGATGGGCTGTAACTGGGAGGTATCTGTCGGCCATGTTGTGGCGAAACATTTGCAGAAGTGGAGGTTTTTCTCACGTCCAGCTGTGAGATCGTATTGATCACAAACAACCGCAGATCTTTGGATTATCCGTTTCTGAGAGGGAAAACAACAGTTTTGTGGAACATCAATAATGGAAGAATACATGAGATGGAGGCCAGCGGTCTCCTAAAATTCACAGCC